ATAATCGCTCATGCTGAATCGACGAAGGAGGCGTGGGATATTCTTGTCAAGTACTATGAAGGAGGAAAGAAATTTAAGGTCGTTAAGTTGTAAACTTTGCTACAACAATATGATTTGTTGTCAATGGGAGAAGATGAAAAGATTACAGGCTATGTGTCGAAGGTGCAGAAACTCATCCATCTCATGAAGGGTTATGGTGAAACCCTAACTAATACGATGATAATTGAGAAGGTAATGCGTATGTTGACCTCTCACTTTGATCATGTTATCATAGTTATTCAAGAATCCAACAATCTTGAAACCCTAAAACTGGAAAATTTGGTTGGTTCGTTGGAAGCGCGTGAGATTAGGATTGTCGAAAAGAAAGTAGTTCAAGACTCGATACAAGCACTACACGCACAATCGTGGAAGAAGAATGATGGTTCCAACAAGTTCAAAGGCAAAATCGAAAAGACTCAGGGCAAGAAGTCTTGATCAAATCCTCACAAGAATAAGATCGATGATAGAACTTCTGAATCCTCGAAAAGAGGAGAAGGAAATTCCTATCAGAAAGACAAAGTAGAGAAAAGAAGTTTGCAGTACTATAACTGTGAAAAGTATGGTCACTTGACCAAGCATTGTTGGTACATGAAAGACAAGGGTTCAACAAAAGTCAAGGACGAATGAGCGAATCTTGCAAATCAGAATTAGATGATTTTGATGATATGATGGTTATGGTTGCAGTTGTAGATGACCATGTTGAATCCAAGATTTGGTTCCTCGACTCAAGTTGTTCGAATCACATGAATGGTAAAAAAACATGGTTAGCAGATTTTGACGAGTCGAATAAGAGCAAGGTGAAACTTGTTGATAATAGCTCGTTGCCAACAGAAGGTACTGATAACATAGTTATTTAAATGAGTAGTTGAGCAAAAGCCTTGATCAAAGATGTACTTTATGTCTCTGGAATGAAGTGCAATCTGCTAAGTATTTAACAACTGGTCGAAAAGGGGTTCTCAGTAGTTATGAAAGATGGAGCCTTAGAACTTTTTGACATCTAGAATAACTTGGTCTTGAAATTTCCTCTGTCAAAGAATAGAACATTTAAGACCGTGATCATTTCGACTGGGGTACAATGTCCGAAAACAGTTGTCGACCATAAGAATAGTTGAATGTAGCATCTGAGATTTGGCCATCTGAACTTTAGGTCGTTAAATCAACTGATCACTCATCATACGGTAACTGGTATACCAAGTTTTAAGATTCCCACCAAACTCTACGAAGGTTGTCTAGTCAGAAAGCAGTCTAGGAAGTCTTTTGTTTCGACTATGCCAATGAGATCATCCTGCATACTCGAAGTTGTACATTCAAATGTATATGGCCCTTTCGAAGAGCATACCATTGCTGGAAATAGGAATTTCGTATCATTTCTCGATGAGTATAGTTGAAATCTCTAGATCTATGTGATCAAACAAAAGGACAAAGTATTTGAAATCTTTAAGAGATTAAAGATACTTTCCGAAAACCAGGATGAAAAGAAAATTAAAGTTTTGCGAACAGATGGAGGTGGCGAATACACATCCAAGATATTTGAAGAATTATGTGTGGGATATGGTATTGATCATGAGATAACTGCTTCTTATATTCCTCAACATAATGGAATAGCAAAAAGAAGAAACAAGACCATATTGGACATCGTGAGATGCATGCTGAATCAGAAGAATTTTCCAAAATCCTTATGGGGAGAAGCTGTTTCGACTACTATTTATATTTTGAAAAAAGTGCCCTACCAAGTAGCTGAAGATCAAGGTTCCTGAAGAAGTGTGGAGTAGCAAACGACCATTAGTGAGTCATCTGAAGGTGTTTGCCTCTATTTTCTACAAGCATATTCCTAACGCTAGGAGAAGGAAGCTTGATGATAAGAGTGAACCTATGATTCTAGTAGGATATCATAATACTGGAGCATACAGACTGTTCAATCCAATTAATCAGAAGATTGTGATTAGTCAAGACATTGTGATTGATGAAAATTCTTCCTAGGATTGGAGTTCTAGTAATACAATTGACAAGCCATTGATGAGCTATGATTTCGACAAAGCAAGTAATGATGTTAAATTCAAAGATATTATTGATACTCCTGTCAAAGAAGAAGTTGAAGCAGTTTCTGACATTCTCGACACAGTCGAAGTCTAAGAGGATATGACTAGCACAAGTTAGAGACCACCAAGAACTAGAGCTCTTCCAACAAGAATTTAAGACTATGAAATGGCTGGTGATGATGAAGTCATAATAGATGGGGAACTACTCAATTTTTCTTTACTTACAGGTGCTGAACCAATCAACTATAGCGAAGCCTTCAAATATAAACAATGGAAGTCTGCTATGGTCAAAGAGTTACAAGCAATTGAAAGAAATAACACATGGGAGTTGGTCGAATTGCCAACTTATACAAAAGCTATCGAAGTAAAGTGGGTGTTCAAGTTGAAGCACAATGTTGATTGGTCAATAGCAAGGCATAAGGCAAGATTCGTAGCTCGAGGATTTCTCCAGAGAGCAGGACTCGACTACTCTAAAGTATTTGCACCTGTCGCATGATTGGAAACTGTTCGACTAGTGGTGGCCTTGGCATGCAAGCAAGGCTTGTCAATATTTCACTTAGATGTGACATCAACATTTTTGAATGGACCTTTAGAAGAAGAGGTGTATGTCACACAACCTTATGGGTTTGTGATTCAGGAGGAAGCAAGTATAGTATACAAGTTTCACAAAGCGCTCTATGGTCTCAAGCAAGCGCTTAGGGCATGAAACAAGAAGATCGACTCATACTTGGTTGAATTGTGATTCGTAAAATACAAATCTGAGTATGGTGTCTATGTTCAAGTTGTGGCACAAGATATAAAAATAATATGCTTATATGTTGATGATTTTCTAGTAACTAGAAATTTCCTGAAGAACTTGTCGAAGTTTAAAGAGCTGATAAAGAAGGAATTTAAAATGTCGAAGCAAGGCATGATGCTACGTCAAAGAAAGTATGTCAAAGAGATACTCGAGAGATTCAGAATGGATGATTCGACTCCTGCATCTTCGCCTATCAAACCAAATTTAAAGTTGGAGAAGCATGAAGAGGAATACAAAATTGATGCCACTTTGTTCAAACAGATTGTCAGATCTCTAAGCTATGTGTGCAACAGTCGACCTGATATATGTTTCTCAGTCGAATTAGTGAGCAGATACATGAGTGAACCAATGGTGTCACACATGAAGACTGCAAGAAGAATCCTGAGATACTTAAAAGGATAAAAAACTATGGAATTTTATTTCGAAGAGACTCTGAAAGCACAGAAGTTATGGTTATTTGTTATTCAGATGTTAACTGATGCGGAGATAAGGAAGATCGAATGAGCACTACTAGATATTTCTTTCAAGTATTTGGTGCCCTAATTTCATAATGCTCGAAAAAGCAACCTATGGTGGCTCTATCATCATGTGAAGCGGAATATATAGCAGGATCTTATGCTGGACGTCAAGCGATTTGGATAAGTTTGGTGCTTGAAGAAATGGAGGTCGAAGTGAAGAAATCTCTTGTGTTGCAAATTGACAACAAGTCTGTCATAAATCTGGCGAAGAATCCATTTCTGCATGGAAGAAGTAAGCATATCGAAACTAGATTTCACTTCTTAAGGGAAAAGGTAAATTGAGGCGAACTTGAAGTTAGGCACTACTCAAGTGAAACATAGTTGGCCGACATTTTCACCAAAGGATTGAAGATCGACAAATTCCTGAATTCGAGAAAGAAATTATGAATATTTCAGATCGACTATGATTAGCATAGGTTCGACAACTTGGATTATGGATGGTATATTAAAATATTAGATTATATTAGATTTGATTAGATTTCATATTTAAATATAATCCAAGTTGTGTTAGCCCAAGCCGAATTAGGGTTGTATATAAATAGTTATAGTATGTATCAATGGTTTCAACATGCCCATTCGCGAACCATTATATATCACTAACAGCAAACCTTTTCACAAAAAAGTTATGTTAGTTTGATTATTGCACCTTATGACTATGCACTCAATCATTATAGGGTCTTTGGTTTCATTCTAAACAGTTGTAACTTTTGACCATTTACTTTATAACAAAACTCATAACCACTACAACACATAGCCATTATTTATGATTAAAAAAATTCATAAAATCAATTTAATTATTATTATTTATCAATTTAATATTTTAAAAAATTCTTCGAACATAAATTATTCATATTAAAAGTTTAACAACCTAAAAAATTATCTTTGATAGTCTCTAAACAAATCTCCCCAAATTGAAATGAGATGACTACCATAAACTGTTTAAGTTACATTTTATTCAAGATATTATAGGAGGATGCCATGAAATCTCTTCGATTTCAAAATTTTTAAAAGGAAAATTTTCACACAAAAACTTTAAGAATCACCAAATATGTAATATCAGAACAATTTTGTTTGTATATTTGCATGCAGTACATACCAATTGATGACAATAATGTTTGCAAAATAAAAACCAATCTGAAAAGCAATGCTCTTATCCTCATTGTAATGGTACATTTATTATTATTATTATTGTTATATTCTTTTAAAGCTAAAATAAGGTTCATGATAACAACATAGTCAAAAACAGAATATGAGGCAAGAAAGGAATATTAACCTTTCTAATTTTATATAATATTTTGAGAGTGGACTTTCCTAATTATATACTTAAAAACTCACATAAAGCATCAAGTGATAGTACCATGTTTACCCTTTATAATTAATAGCATTAAAGTTTGAAAATAACATGATCATCATAAAGGTAATTTAAGAATCACTTCCTACACTAACTCTTATCTATACACATAAAGTGACACATAAATATATGTTATCCATTTTATTGGAATATATGATCACATCACATGAACCATAGAAATTCAAGTGGTCCATGTTTAGTAAAGAGGAATCATAATCATAATAAAATACAATTAAACAAGTTAATTAAAGTCTCTATTTAAGCTTTAAACCTTGAGAAAACCAATGTGGCATCTTTTTATCTTGATCATATGTAACACTAGAGCTGCTCATTGGTGTGGTAGGGTCACTACAATCTCCAATTCTATCTGATTGAAAAGAGACATAAGAATTTGGTAATGGAAGCAAATTATAAGACTTTTTCTTCTTATTCTTTGTTTGGTTGCTTCCTCCTATACATAAAGTTAAATCCACTTCCATATCTTCATCATCATCACAATCACTTGCTGCTGGCTTTTCAAGATCAAAATCACTTTCTCTTTTTTTTATTATCATCATATCTCCTGAATTGCTTCCACTTCTTTCCTTTATCATTAAATCCTCTTTCAAAATTTGGACATGGCTAAATGAAATTTGTGTTGGTTGTTGAACAAAATAACCTTGGTTTATACCTATGCTACCATTCATAGGGGTCCAAAATTTTTTATTTTTTTGCTCATCCATTAGCACTTTTTGTACATTGTATACTCTATGAAGTTCCTTTACCTACAATTTTTCAAATACTCTATTAAAACTGAAAGGAAACTTGAATTTTGTATTGTTAAGATGAGAGTTTTGCAAAATAGAGAAAACATGGTACCTGGTTTTTGAAGATGTCCTCATGCATCTGCATTGTCTTTTTGATGGATTCTATGTTGTTTCTGTTAAGCTTCTTGTCCATTGGATTCTGCAAATTATTGTTAATCACTTTTACTTCTTTGTTTTGATAATGTTCCCTGGCATCAACACCACTCAAAGTGAAGTTGTTGCAGTCTCCTGAGTATGCTAGTGGATTTATGGAATATTCAATTTTTGTTCCCATTCCTGAAAAAGAAAAAAAAAACAATACTTATAATTTTGTTTCTCACACTTACCCAAATCGCTATCACAGATACGAATATCAGATACGATATTGGCGTGTTGACTTTAATAAAAATTTGAAAAATTGAAGTGATTGATTGTATTTGATAATTGTGTTTGTGTTGGTGCTTAAGAAACTAACTTAATAACAAAATTGTAAATTATACTGACGCATTCATGTAGACACTAAACACGAAACTAATATTAATGAGTGTCGACTGTCGACATCAAACATGTTTTTCATCTGAAGTGCGGTGCTTTATATGATTAATAACAAAATTGTAAACTTTGTAACTGATTTAAATTATGCTCCATAAATATATGAATGAAAAATTATATAGCATCAACATCTCTGAAAAAACACGTGTGTCTGTGTCTGAAAACTGGTTATGTGTTTCGAATATCCGTGTTTCATAGAATGGGAAGGTGGATCTAGATATTCAAACCAAACACTAAATATTAATGGAAATCTTATTGTTGGAATTTTTTTGCAAGATTTTGTTGCTACCTTTTTGATGCATAGATTCAAATCATATATAGAAATTGTACTAGTTTGTTGTTTGATTAAATTTGTCAAAACAGAGAAAACTTTCCTAAACCAAAAGTAGAAGAGGAAGTACTCAGAGAGAGATAATTTTCTTAGAAAAAGGTTCAAAAGTTGAAAACCAAACATTTCCAGAAACTTAGATGCTGAATAAATCAATGAACATTAGATGCAGGTTATTTATGTGTGTCTGTCACTATAAATAGAAAAGAAAAAAACTATGCACAGAAAAAAGTGTCAATTTCTCCTTTGTAGTTCTGATAAAGCAAATATGAAGTGAAAAGAAAAAGTTGATTATTTTCTTTCTTTTCTAAGAACAACAAAAACATAACAATAAAAATAAAATTGTTGTAAAATCAAAGATGATCATCACCTGTTGTAAGAAGTAGCAAAACGGAAGGTTTCTATGATGAAGTTCATTGAACATGTTCTTCCATAAAGTTGGTAATATAACAAGTGGACGATTATATTTTTATGGTTTTTGTTGAATCATGGTTGGAAAAAGAATAGATTAAAGGACGGATGAACCCAAGCAGTGCATGAACATGTGGAGAATTTGGAGAAAAGTGATAGACAGCATGAAGACACTTGGCAGTTGAAATAAGAGTTTTGGTTTGAAACAAGAAGAATTAGAAAATGGAATAATTATGTTGTTGTTGTTGAGTTAATAATTTAGGTTTTGACAGCCTGTGAAGGAAGGAAGGAGGCAAAGGCAAAAGCTGGAGGAGCAATGTGTTTGTATATATGTTTGAGACTCTGAATGATTTTGTGTGAGTGTGAGAGATATGTTATTATAATATACTTATTTGTAACATGTACTTTAGTTTATGAGTTTCATCAATAATATGCTATGCATCTATCTATATCCACAATCACATCTCATTTTATATATATATATATATATATATATATATATATATATATATATATATATATATATATATATATATATATATATATATATATATATATATATATATATATATATATATATATATATATATAATGAGATGTGGTAGCTTCTCCGGCCGCATCAAACCTCAATCAATATAATTAAAATCATACGTTTTAATCGCATCAAATAATTTCTTACAACAATATAAGTACGGTAAATCATTAAATTTTCAAGGTGTTAGGGTTAATTTCTATTAAATACTAACAGTTTCAATGTTGAGTCAAATAGACACAGAACTTTACTCTAATTTTAAACGAGATTGGATATATGATTTATTTTATATTTTATGGTTATGGTTGAGTGTAATGTGTGGAAAAGAATGGAAGAGCAGGGACCAGAATAGTAATAATAATAATAATGAAAAGAAATGACAGTCCTAAAACATGAGCCAATGTAGGGCAGCAAACAAGATATTCCAGACAAAGTCTTGGTAGGACTTAATCAAGATATGTATCAACAATTAGTGCTTCTTTCTTTGTAGGACCTACCATTATTTTCTCTCTTCAATTTTCTTATTCTTTCCGTACATGCAGAACAATATCACACTTATATAGATTGAGATTGAGATAGAGATAGAGATAGAGATTTCACCACTCTACACAGTACTAATTATTTCAGGTGTTTTTATTGAAAACAGTAAATTCCATTGGGCTTGGGATTTGAAATTCATTATCACTACTTTCACACACTTAGATATAGCATAAGATTAAGAATCATATGTATGAGAAGAAAAGCAAGTTTTGTGTCAACTTTGAATAAAGAAGTGAAATTTTAACCTATAGTTTTGAACTTCTATCTATGGAAGCCTAGAGGAGTAAGGTGAAATAAAATAATACAATGATTGAAAATGGGAAAGACTTTTAGAATTTTGAGATGTTTGATAAAGGAATTAATGTTTATTTAATGTAAGAACTAGAAAAAGAAAAGCTTGGTCTATTGTGCATCCAATATGGATGTTCCCACTACTTATGTGTCCATCTTCACCAATTTAGTGATAGTGTCACATCAATGTTTTTAATGCTTATTCAATTTAAATATTTTGGTGTGATTTAGTTATTTTGTTTTCTTCAATTTTACTTATGCTTAGAGCTAATTGTGAGTTCATCTATAAAGGAAATATTATGCAGATATTTTTATCCTTTAATCATAAAAGAATTATTGAAATAAAATGGGTTAGTGTTTTAATACTTACGCATGTATATTGACGCATCTTTCTTTTTTAAAAATTTATATTTGTAACGAAATACCATTTATATTACAAAGACTTACATAAGTCATTTATGTAGAAGGTGTTGGGTTATGAAAAAGGGAAAATCATGGCCGCACTATGGATCAAAGACTCATTTAAAGATTAAAGATTTATTCAAATAAGTAAGAGAAATAATATATATTTATCTAAAACTTTGGCAGTGAATGTATTGATTCTCTCACTTATAAAATATTCAACTTTCACTTTTCTAAGCAATGTGACATAAAATAATGTGAAATTGATACAATCCATGAAATATGAGATAAAATCTCTAAAGATGAACCAAACATATGACTTGGTAAAATTGCTAAAATGAAGAACGACACTGAAACAAATAGGTGTTCAAAATAAAGTTTAAAGAGAACAACTTAAACCCCAAATACAAAACAAGAATTGTTGTGAAGGGATGACATCAAAAGAAAGACGTATATTTGGAATAAATCTTCACACCTGTGATGAAGATGACATATATTAGAATATTTTTCAGTATAACTGCAAAATTAAACTTAGAGATAGAGCAATAGATATTAGACATTGTTCTTACATGGAGACTTAGATGAAGAAATTTAAATCGATTAACCAGGAAAAGAATATCGTGTGTGTCCTTTGAAGAAACTTCTTTATGGTTTAGGCAATGCTACATGAAACTTGGTAACTTCATGACCCAAAAGAAGTTCCAAAGACGACATCTGGCCACTGTGTGTTTGTGGGAAAAAATAAAAATGGTGATTTCATCATACTTTTGTTGTATATTGATGACATGTTAATTGTTGTAAAAATGAAAGAAAAAGATAGATGAATTTAAGAAAGTTTTAAGCATTTTTTTCTATGAAAGATATGGGTGCAATGAAGAAGATTGATGGAATGAAGATCATTATGTTTTAATAGAATGTTGTGGATGTCATAAAAAGACTACGTTGATAAATTTCTCAAGAGGTTCAATATAATGGTAAATTTCTACATGTTCCACTACCTAGTTATTTAAAACTTAGTAAGACACAATGGTCAAATATGACCAAGAAAAATAAGAAATTAGCAAGGTGTTTAATTCTTCAACTGTGGGTAGCCTTATGTACACAATGGTTAACACAAGACCAGACATTGCATATATTATTGGAGTTGTGAGTATATGTGGTGTTGGTATATCAAGTGTGAGTATGAGTCTCACATCAGATGAAAAAATGAATGTTGAACACTTTATAAGTGAGAGAACTCACACACCATTCACCTTAAAGTTTTGGGTGAATATGTGGTGTCTCTCTCACTTGTGTGGTTGCTCCTAAGCCTGAAGTGATGATTCACTGACCCCCTCGTGACCTAATAGTGGCATCAGAGTCTGCCTCAACTAGGACTCCTTGTATCGAAAGTCTTCTAAACAACAGTATTCAGACGACGTGTTGTGTTGAGGCCATCCAACGACTGTGTAAGTAGATATGGATGAAAAAGCTTTCATTTGAGGGGGAACATACCCATAATAATGGACGAACTCACACTTGAGGGGGAGATTGTTGGTATATCAAGTGTGAGTACGAGTCTCACATCGGATGGAAAAGTGAATGTTGAACACTTTATAAGTGAGAGATCCCACACATCTATTATCTTAAGATTTTTGGTGAATATATGATGTATCTCTCACTTGTGTATTTGCTCCTAAGCCCGGAGTGATAAATCCTCGAACCCTCTTGTGACCCAACATGTGGATCTGGATGAAAGAACTTCCAATTAAAAAGACGCATATAAGCAGATGAAATCACACTTGAGGAAAAATTATTGTATGACAAATATGAATTAGAAGACTCACATTGTTTGAAAAAATGAAAGTTGAATAATAGTGTGCGTGCATGCGCGCGCAGCGTATGTGATGCATACATTTAATACCTTAAAATTTTGAATAAGAGTGTGATGTCTTTCTCACTTGGATTGCATAATTGTTTGACCAAATATGGACGTTTTCAAAATTCTCCTCCAATGACCCAACAAAATGTGCAACCATAATTTATTTGATTGTGATTCTATCCCAAGTTGTAGAATCACATTAGAATTAGACCTCAAATGTAATTAAAGTTTAAAATCTTGATTGTACCTCAAATTATGGAAGGATGTCAAGAAACCTTATTAAATAAGCATAAAAAATTAAATGGAGCTTCAACTTTTTCTCAATGAGTTGTCGGTTATTATTTGAAGAAAACATAAAACCAGGACTTGGATAAAAGA